TCTGAGACAGAGAGAGATCGGAGGTTTTTGAGAGAGAGAGAGATTGGAGAATTTTGAAAGACTTGTTTGCACTGTTGTGGGCCCTTTAATATTTAATACGAAAAAATAGGATTCGTTTTTTTTTTTTTATAAAGGCGGTTCGAGCCTTTTTCATATGTTTCAATGTCCCAATTCAATAACTGTACCATCCACTTGCGTCGTTTTACCATACCGCTTATCGGACACGTGCACAAGTCACAACTCAAAAGTCAAAAACTCAAAACATCTCATCTCATTTTGCATAGGAGGATGATATAAAAATAGTGAATTCATTTCGAATAATCTTAGAAACGTGGATAGTATGATGTGTCTATTGATTTCCGGGTCTAATTGATTATGCTTTGGCCTTTTGTAGGGCTTAGTCTTCAAAGAACTCTTTGTTATGCCAAGAAATTTTTTAGTCTAGTACTATCTCTCTATCCGAATCCCAAGTTATACTCTTAGTAAAAATTTCCAAATGACCCCAAAAAAGTGTCTTCATTACAACTACATGCAAAATTGAAGCCATTCAAGTCAAGTAGACCCATTCTATAGCAGGAACATCCAAAAATTTCAAAACTTTGCTATTTGTAAGGTTTACCAATCTAATTAACCAAACCCATCCGAGTAGGAAAACATTGCTATTTTTAATGTTAATGTTTTATTCATACGCAGTCCAAAACTCTTAATATTATTAATAGCATAACTCATAGTCAGAGCCGTGTCTAAGGTAACAGAGAGACCAGAGGCGATGTTTACATCAATCCTTGCCTCTCCTTAAGACACATTACGGACCCGGTTCTAAGCTCATCCATCCATGAATACTATGCATTTGTTATTCTAAAACTTTTGAATAAAAATATATATACCTCAATTAAAAAAAATGTATGTGTATCTCATTCACTTGTTCCCCATGGGTCCAATTGAAGGATCGATGTATATATAGGTGTGATAAAAATAGGTGTGAAAGGCTGTCTGAGCCATAAATGGCTAACCATTAATTAAGTTTCTTTCTTCATTCTCATTTTACAAACTCTTCTTTTCTTTCGCCACAAGCTTCCGATTTTCTTAATCTTCTCTTTTACAATCTCAAAAAACCCAAACGAGGAAAAGAAGCACAAGGAGGCAGAAGAAGAAGGGGCATATGTTCTTGTTTTCTCGCTGTGCGATCTCTTTATTTCTTTCGCATTTTCTTAATTGTCAAATTATGCATCTCATAATAGTGCTTTTTCATTGGGGTACAAACATGCAGGATCAAACATGCTGAGGTTTTTTATCCTTTTCTCTTTTATCATACATTCTTGTGTTGCGGCACCTAAGCCACCAGCTGCTACCGCGGCTGATCCCGCCAAGAAATGGCTCACCCTTAGTGGTATGTATCCTTTGACATTGTAACATGTTTTTGTTTCTTGGCGGTACGATATATAAAACTCTCCATATTACATAACATGTTTGTTTGTAAGAACCTCTCTGTTTTTTCTTCATTTTTCTTTCAGGACAGCAGCCTGCTGTTGTGGCTAGAGGCGGCTTCTCGGGTGTTTTCCCGGAGTCAAGTGCCCCTGCAAATGACATGGCTATTAGCACCAGCTCGCCTGGCCTCACAATGTTGTGCAACCTTCAGATGACAAAGGATGGCGTTGGCATTTGCTTGTCTGATATCAGGCTTGACAATGCAACCACCATCCCCACCGTCTTCCCCAAAGACCAGAAGACTTATAAGGTCAATGGTCAAGACCTCAAGGGCTGGTTTGTCCTTGACTACTTTTCCGACACCATCTTCTCCAATGTCTCCCGTATGTCTTTTTCTCTTTTCCTCCCTACAATGCTTCCAACCACCACCACCAAACCTTTTCATTTTTTTTTTATTATTGAGCAGTGGTCCAGAACATCTACTCTCGGCCCAGCATTTTCGATGGCCAAATGGCAATTTCCGCCGTGGAGGACGTCATGGGGACCAAGCCTCCCAAGTTTTGGTTGAGCGTTCAGGTTTCTTTTCTTACTCTCTATCAGAATATGATTAACCAACCTCGGGAGGGTTCTTGTTGATTC